TTGATGCAGCCACTGTTGATGTTATGGTTGATGCAGCCACTGTTGATGTTATGGTTGATGCAGCCACTGTTGATGTTATGGGTGATGCAGCCACTGTTGATGTTATGGTTGATGCAGCCACTGTTGATGTTATGGTTGATGCAGCCACTGTTTGTTATGGTTGATGCAGCCACTGTTGATGTTATGGTTGATGCAGCCACTGTTGATGTTATGGTTGATGCAGTCACTGTTGATGTTATGGGTGATGCAGCCACTGTTGATGTTATGGTTGATGCAGCCACTGTTGATGTTATGGTTGATGCAGCCACTGTTGATGTTATGGTTGATGCAGCCACTGTTGATGTTATGGTTGATGCAGCCACTGTTTGTTATGGTTGATGCAGCCACTGTTTGTTATGGTTGATGCAGCCACTGTTGATGTTATGGTTGATGCAGTCACTGTTGATGTTATGGTTGATGAAGTCACTGTTGATGTTATGGTTGATGCAGTCACTGTTGATGTTATGGTTGATGCAGCCACTGTTTGTTATGGTTGATGCAGCCACTGTTGATGTTATGGTTGATGCAGTCACTGTTGATGTTATGGTTGATGCAGCCACTGTTTGTTATGGTTGATGCAGCCACTGTTGATGTTATGGTTGATGCAGTCACTGTTGATGTTATGGTTGATGCAGCCACTGTTTGTTATGGTTGATGCAGCCACTGTTGATGTTATGGTTGATGTAGCCACTGTTGATGTTATGGTTGATGCAGTCACTGTTGATGTTATGGTTGATGCAGCCACTGTTTGTTATGGTTGATGCAGCCACTGTTACGATTGATGCAGCCACTGTTGATGTTATGGTTGATGCAGCCACTGTTTGTTATGGTTGATGCAGCCACTGTTGATGTTATGGTTGATGCAGCCACTGTTACGATTGATGCAGCCACTGTTGATGTTATGGTTGATGCAGCCACTGTTGATGTTATGGTTGATGCAGCCACTGTTGATGTTATGGTTGATGCAGCCACTGTTGATGTTATGGTTGATGCAGCCACTGTTACGATTGATGCAGCCACTGTTTGTTATGGTTGATGCAGCCACTGTTGATGTTATGGTTGATGCAGCCACTGTTATGGTTGATGCAACCACTGTTGATGTTATGGTTGATGCAGCCACTGTTGATGTTATGATTGATGCAGTCACTGTTTGTTATGGTTGATGCAGCCACTGTTGATGTTATGGTTGATGCAGCCACTGTTGATGTTATGATTGATGCAGTCACTGTTTGTTATGGTTGATGCAACCACTGTTGATGTTATGGTTGATGCAGCCACTGTTGATGTTATGATTGATGCAGCCACTGTTTGTTATGGTTGATGCAGCCACTGCTTGTTATGGTTGATGCAGCCACTGTTATGGTTGATGCAACCACTGTTGATGTTATGGTTGATGCAGCCACTGTTGATGTTATGGTTGATGCAGTCACTGTATGGATGTTATGGTTGATGCAGTCCCCTGTTGATGTTATGGTTGATGCAGCCACTGTTGATGTTATGGTTGATGCAGTCACTGTTGATGTTATGGGTGATGCAGCCACTGTTGATGTTATGGTTGATGCAGTCACTGTTGATGTTATGGTTGATGCAGCCACTGTTGATGTTATGGTTGATGCAGCCACTGTTGATGTTATGGTTGATGCAGCCACTGTTGATGTTATGGTTGATGCAGCCACTGTTGATGTTATGGTTGATGCAGTCACTGTTGATGTTATGGTTGATGCAGCCACTGTTTGTTATGGTTGATGCAGCCACTGTTGATGTTATGGTTGATGCAGCCACTGTTTGTTATGGTTGATGCAGCCACTGTTATGGTTGATGCAACCACTGTTGATGTTATGGTTGATGCAGCCACTGTTGATGTTATGGTTGATGCAGTCACTGTTGATGTTATGGTTGATGCAGCCACTGTTGATGTTATGGTTGATGCAGCCACTGTTGATGTTATGGTTGATGCAGCCACTGTTGATGTTATGGTTGATGCAGTCACTGTTGATGTTATGGTTGATGCAGTCACTGTTGATGTTATGGTTGATGCAGCCACTGTTTGTTATGGTTGATGCAGCCACTGTTGATGTTATGGTTGATGCAGCCACTGTTTGTTATGGTTGATGCAGTCACTGTTGATGTTATGGTTGATGCAGTCACTGTTGATGTTATGGTTGATGCAGCCACTGTTGATGTTATGGTTGATGCAGCCACTGTTGATGTTATGGTTGATGCAGCCACTGTTGATGTTATGGTTGATGCAGTCACTGTTGATGTTATGGTTGATGCAGTCACTGTTGATGTTATGGTTGATGCAGCCACTGTTTGTTATGGTTGATGCAGCCACTGTTGATGTTATGGTTGATACAGCCACTTTGATATTACAGCTGATTCAGTCAGTAGATGTTATAATTGATGAAATAATGGTTGATACAGAAGAAAAAGAAATAGAAGAAGACTAAGAAGAAGAAGCCTACGAAGAAGCCTTAGAAGAACAAGAAGACTAGAAAGAAGAACAAGAAGACTAGAGAGAAGAACAAGAAGACTAGAAAGAAGAACAAGAAGACTAGAAAGAAGAACAAGAAGACTAGAAAGAAGAACAAGAAGACTAGAATGAAGAACAAGAAGACTAGAAAGAAGAGCAAGAAGACTAGAAAAAAGAACAAGAAGACTAGAAAGAAGAACAAGAAGACTAGAAAGAAGAGCAAGACTAGAAAAAAGAACAAGAAGACTAGAAAGAAGAGCAAGAAGACTAGAAAGAAGAACAAGAAGACTAGAAAGAAGAGCAAGAAGACTAGAAAGAAGAACAAGAAGACTAGAAAGAACAAGAAGACTAGGAAGAAGAACAAGAAGACCAGGAAGAAGAACAAGAAGACCAGGAAGAAGAACAAGAAGACCAGGAAGAAGAACAAGAAGACCAGGAAGAACAAGAAGACCAGGAAGAAGAACAAGAAGACCAGGAAGAAGAACAAGAAGACCAGGAAGAAGAACAAGAAGACCAGGAAGAAGAACAAGAAGACCAGGAAGAAGAACAAGAAGACCAGGAAGAAGAACAAGAAGACAAGGAAGAAGAACAAGAAGAACAAGAAGACCAGGAAGAACAAGAAGACCAGGAAGAAGAACAAGAAAACCAGGAAGAACAAGAAGACCAGGAAGAAGAACAAGAAGACCAGGAAGAAGAACAAGAAGACCAGGAAGAAGAACAAGAAGACTAGGAAGAAGAAATAAGATGATCAGGAAGAAGAATAAGAAGATCAGGAAGGAGAACAAGAAGACCAGGAAGAAGAACAAGAAGACCAAGAAGAACAAGAAGACCAGGAAGAAGAACAAGAAAACCAGGAAGAACAAGAAGACCAGGAAGAAGAACAAGAAGACTAGGAAGTAGAACAAGAAGACTAGGAAGAAGAATAAGAAGATCAGGAAGAAGAATAAGAAGATCAGGAAGGAGAACAAGAAGACCAGGAAGAACAAGAAGACCAGGAAGAAGAACAAGAAGACCAGGAAGAACAAGAAGACCAGGAAGAAGAACAAGAAGACTAGGAAGCAGAACAAGAAGACTAGGAAGTAGAACAAGAAGACTAGGAAGAAGAATAAGAAGATCAGGAAGGAGAACAAGAAGACCAGGAAGAACAAGAAGACCAGGAAGAAGAACAAGAAGACCAGGAAGAACAAGAAGACCAGGAAGAAGAACAAGAAGACTAGGAAGTAGAACAAGAAGACTAGGAAGAAGAATAAGAAGATCAGGAAGGAGAACAAGAAGACCAGGAAGAACAAGAAGACCAGGAAGAAGAACAAGAAGACCAGGAAGAACAAGAAGACCAGGAAGAAGAACAAGAAGACTAGGAAGAAGAACAAGAAGACCAGGAAGAAGAACAAGAAGACTAGGAAGAAGAATAAGAAGATCAGGAAGGAGAATAAGAAGATCAGGAAGGAGAACAAGAAGACCAGAAAGAAGAGCAAGAAGACTTGGAAGAATAACTGGGCTTATCACTTGTATCAGCTTGGCCATAATATTCTTCTCTCACCCTCATCTTTCAGTCTGTGTTGTTCTCTTATGTATGTATGTATATATGTATGTGTGTGTGTTATGCATACTTTAGCCAAGATATCTTATAAAGATACATAAGTAAATGGGTGAAATGGATACATTTATAGGGTTTCAAATGTTTATATTTCGTTAACTGCCTCCATATTGTTGATTTATTACCATAATGTCATCAAAGTAGAATTAGGAGTTCATTTTTATTTTATATTGAAGACGTGTCCATGATTCCTTGAAGCTGTGTTGTGGTGTGTGTGTGTGTGTGTGTGTGTGTGTGTGTGTGTGTGTGTGTGTGTGTGTGTGTGTGTGTTGTCTCTGTGTGTGTGTGTGTGTGTGTGTGTGTGTGTGTGTGTGTGTGTGTGTGTGTGTTGTGTGTGTGTGTGTGTGTCTTGTGTGTGTGTGTGTGTGTGTGTGTGTGTGTGTGTGTGTGTGTTGTGTGTATGTGTGTGTGTGTGTGTGTGTGTGTGTGTGTGTGTGTGTGTATGTGTGTTGTGTGTGTGTGTTGGTGTGTGTGTGATCTGTGTTGTGTGTGTGTGTGTGTGTGTGTCTGTTGTGTGTGTATGTGTGTGTGTGGGGTGTGTGTGTGTGTGCGTTGTGTGTTGTATGTGTTGTGTGTGTGTGTCTGTTGTGTGTGTGTGTGTCTGTCTATGTGTGTTTGTCTGTCTGTCTGATGTATGTGCGCGTGTGGTGTATAGTGTGTGTGTCTGTCTGTATGTGTGTCAGTCGTCTGTATGTGTGTCTGTCTGGTCTGTATGTGTGTGTGTGTGTGTGTGTGTGTGTGTTTGTGCAGATATGGACTTATGTATATATGCGTGTGCGACTTGTCTTGCATAATGTGTGTGTACGTATGTATGGACTTCCCAGGGCGGAGGGTGAGGTTGGGGGGGTAGTATTGGGAGGGGAGGGGAGGGGAGGGGGGCAGGAAACAAGCTTACTCAGTGAAGGAGCGACCAGCAGTCAAATTTATTATAATTTTTTTATTTTATTTACATGAATATATGCAATAGTGAATGTTATAAACAAAGAGTGAACCATCCTCAGACAGTCGCTTACACAAGTCACTTTATGTGGTTCTTCTAGAGTCACCATAATTATCCTTGATATACCGGCCCAATTCGCTTTGAGCTATACAAAAATATCTGTATACAACTCATAATAGCAGGGGTATGGCAGCATGGGTATACAACAGAGGTAGAGTCAGAGTTAGAGGGTATGGGGTAAAGGTATTGGCCTGTGTAGTTATCATAGTATTGGATCCTATACAACAGGAAATATTCTCAGACGTAGACCAAAGGAAAAAAATATATAATCGGTGGGTAATTTTTTTTCCTCAAGCCCGAGTGCTGTATATAGAGAGGCGGGGGAAGAGGACCCCTTCTTCGGGCACAAGATGTCGTGGTTCTTCATTTCCAGTTGTCCACAGCAGGGTAGGAGGTGATCCTGTGGCGGGGGAATTGTCAGCGAGGTCCTCTGGAGGAGCCACTGGGAAAGAGACGCTCCGTAACGCCATCGGCAGTAGTTTCAAGGGTGGTCGATACAGGACCCTCATCAGCGCCGCCCACCTGAAGGTGCTGGAGAGTTGAGCGCCCCATCACACCTCCGTCTAGCGATGATTAATTTAGTTCCTGCGAAGTAAAAGAGTATGGACCATGAGTCTTGACGGAGTTAAGAATGTAAGACGCAAGTTTGACGCGAGAACCTAGAGGAATACTTAATAATGGTCTAGGAAGAACCGAAATATTCAGTTTTCACTTATTTTTACCAGTATTGATATTATTACCTATAATGCTGTTATTAATATTAATAATATTAATGTTTACTGCAAAAAACATTACTGATACCAACTTCCTTAAATATAATGAAACCAAGAAAAAATGATTTAGAAATCACATTTTGCATCTTTATTTTTAGTACGAGTGATCGTTTGTTTCAGATGTGAGGGCGTGAATGAGATAGATTCATGGAAAAATAGACATGTTGAGTGATAGATAGGGGTAGCAGTGTCGACAGAGGGAACAAGAGACACATAGGTGGGAAATAGCAACAGACAACACAGCAGACTTGTGAGTGGATAGATAAATGTAAGAGTATATGTAATGGTGGGTGGACAAATGAAGCTATTGTCCACTTAACCTTTTGTGCCTAATGTTCTTCTTGTGTGTATGTATGTGTGTGTGTGTGTGTGTGTGTGTGTGGTGTGTGTACTCACCTAGTTGGGTTGCAGGGGTCGATTCATAGCTCCTGGCTCCGCCTCTTCACCTTTCGCTACTGGATCACTTCCTGCTTCTTACGCTTTATCATACCTGTACTCACCTAGTTGAGGTTGAGGTTGCAGGGGTCGAGTGTGTGTGTGTGTGTGTGTGTGTGTGTGTGTGTGTGTGTGTGTGTGTGTGTGTGTGTGTGTGTGTCACCACGTGTCTTGCAAAGTGAAGCAGAGTATAAAGCACTTGATGAAGACTACGTATTATTGATCTGAATTGATGCTGAAGAATGTATTTCTAGGTTGAATAATGTATGCGGAAACACTTGAGAAATGTGGAGTTACTTAAGGACTGCGTGGGCACACTTAAAAGTTTGTATGTGTGTGAAAAATTGAGAAATGTGTGAAGAATGAGGAATATGGTGAGACACATTGACCTTCCTCCTCGTGGCCCTGCCTATAAACACCCACCTCTGCTGCTGACGCTGCTGCTCTGCGCTTGGTCTCTCCTGCTGGAGTTGCCGTGTGACGTCCCTCTTGCCAATGTCGTTTAATAGTTTCTGATTGTGCTGGGCTCTCTGTAGGTGCTGGCGTTGCTTCTTACGGGCCATCTCCAGGTAGAGCGCCTGTCGCAGAACCTTCATGGAGGCGTCGATAGAGAGGGAGAGCCCCGAGGTCCTTCGTCGGGGAAATGCGTTCGGCCAGGTCCTCTTGGCCATACTGTTGTTGTCGAGGGTGTTGCTGTTGCTGCTGCTGCTGTTGTTGGTGTTTCGGCTGTTGCGGACCTTCCTACCGGC